AACGTCGGCCAAGGTAGCACTTAGCTTTTAAGCGTCGACCTTCGCCAATTCGCTGTCTTTGAGGAGTTACTCAATTTGAGCAGCCTGCCCCGCAAGGGTGGAGTCCCTGACAGCCACGTCCTCCTTAGCACTGGCTAGGGCTCCTTCAGCCTCTTCCTTCTACTCCTAGGTCTGTTGGAGGTCTATCCTGGCTGCGAAGGAAAGAACTTGGTCAATTATAGGTGATGCAGCAAGAAAAGGCTGAAACAAAGATGAACTTACCACCAGAGAATTCTGAATGATGGAACGGAACAATGTGTTCGTTGTCTGCCCCCTGTGAGCCTCTATGTCGGCCTTGAAATGGAGTATCTCGCTCATTGCGTTGGCAACATGGGAGTCCTGTAGAATGGAATCGTCGACCCTGATCACCCAGTTCATATGATCAGTAGCCCAAGGGTTCTACTCTACAACTTCTACCGTCTGCAAAAGGGGAGGTGGAGTCTGTCTCTGCTGCTATTGCTGCTGTTGTCGCTGCTGCTGTTGTTGTTGTTGTTGTTGCCTCTGCTGCTGCTGTTGCTGTTAAGGTAGAGGGGGTAACCCACGGCCCCTTCCGCTTGGTTGTTGAGGGGAGGGGGCCCTGGATCCCCTGCATGGGGCGTCGTGCCTTTGCTTGGTCCTCCTCTACTCGTCGACTTGAAGATCTTGGTTGTGCACTTGACCCCGACCAACGGCCCTCGAAGGTGGAGGGTTGGCGCGGGTCCCTATTGATGGGGCGTTACTGGTTGACCCCTGTCTTCTCCCGGCGGCAAGGGCCTGCCTCTGTCTCAGGAATCCCAGATCTATACGGGGCATGCGTGACATGGCTACCTCAAAGGTGTCCTTTGCGTCTAGGGACTGAAGGATGTGGAATTCAGGCCACGAATCTCTCCCATAAGTCCCCACCTTGGCGTGCGAAGGAACCAAAGTCTCTTTGGCCCCGAACTCCTCAACTTCAAGGGCACCCTCTACTTCCACCTCAGTAACCCTGTCGGGATCTTCCTCCAAGTTCTGCTCGGCTTCTTGTTGCGTAGTCTGATCGAAGAGTTCAGACCACCGCCAAGGGTCGAAGGGCTGGGGGAGCTGTGAGAATTTTTTGTACCCTGCTGAGTAGTTCAGAAGAATGTGAGCAGCCTGGCGGAACCCGTCGTCGCCAACAAATCTCCAAACAGTGACAAGGTCAGCAAAGTTCACCAAGGACCGAGGGGGAGGATCAACTTCCCGGGCGGAGACGTTTGCACAAGAAAGAAGGTTATTAACACTTCTAAAAAATTCCAAGGACAAAAATAGTAGACTTGGAGAAGCCGACGTACTTGTCGTTCTCCATTCAAAAGGGCATATCAGACCATTGTACTCGGGACCGGTTCCCCGCTACCAGGATCCACTGAAGATTAGAAGGTCATCCTTGTATCCTTTGTCCGAGTCAGGGAGATGAGTTACAAGGTATATGGATGGATCCCTGACTTTGAGGTAGAAATTCTGCTGAGGCATGACCCTCAATAGGGAGTAGCAAAAAAGGATATCGTTGAGCCCAACGTTTATCCCGAGACGGTTGTTAAGCTCTAAGACCCCCATTATTGTCCTAAAGACGTTAAGGCAACACTATCCCGAGAAGAAGTTGAAATGGGCGAGGAACTGGAGGAGTAGAGGAGGCAGGGGAAACCTAATTCCACCCTTTATGATTGCCTTGGTGAAAAAGGGCATCTCATCCTCGCTTCCGAGTGTACGGTTATGCAAAATTGGGTCGTACTCTTCTATTCCTACATTTGGGGGGATACGTTATCGGACCCTAAACCTATTGATCTACTCGTCTCTATTCACTTTGTACTTTCCTGACCTCGAGGAACTGGCCTGGGGATCCTCGGTGACAGGGCGATGTCAAGAACTCACCAGAACGCGAACGAAGGTTTCTAAAGGGCTCGGAGTGGTTCCTCTCTCCAGAAGGTTCAGAAGCAAGAGGGTGTTTGCTGGTCTAAACTTTGGTGATGACTGACTGGTAGACGACATGACTAAAGGGGTTTCCGGCGAAATTTTTAGGCGAAAGCTCTCTGAATTCAAAATGACAAAAGTGTGGGAAAAAGAGAGAGAGCCCGTTTATATAGTACCCATCCCCATCATTAGGCACGAAGCACGAAGAGGCATATTTAATGTGCATGACCTAAGCAGCAAAAAATGATTAGAAGCAATGATGGAGTGGTTGGGGCAATTGCAGAACCCTTCGTCTCCTTACAACGCGTGTCCTCGGCGTCAGAAGATCAAAGGTTGGGGGGCAGTTGATGAGACATTTCCAAACACTCCCAGATGATGACACGTGTACTCGGCGTCAATGGAGACTCTCGTTGTGATACCGACACGTCTTCGTCGGTTTCCAACCCCCCTGCCCCAAGGATACTATTCACAGGGATCAAGGATCCCCAAACCACCATGGACCGACACGTATTCCTCGACAGTTTGGGTACATCAATCCTAAATCATGCTAGTCCCTTGGCACCGAGGGGTATCTATCCGCGTAGGCGTTTCTGCTCCTGCAGGGGCTATCGATGGACAGATCACTAGCCTCGGCAAGGCTTGACTAGACATCATGACCTCGTCTTACTCAAATGGTGTCAGGAGGCACAAGAAAGCAGAAGACTCAACCAAAGGGGAATGGACACGTGACATATTGTGTTAGATCAGAGACAAAAAGACCAGAATGCCCTTGCTGACAATCAAAAAAGGACAGGAAGGGCCCTGCTTCGAGAATTTAGATACCTCATCCTACCCCCTGTGGATACTTTTTCCTTTTTAGTTAGTTCTTTTCATTGATTTGATTTGCATCCTCACTGTACTGTACTGTATGAGGGGCGAAGCGAGATAAGAGTAGGAAGTCTCACTCTGTTCCTTACTATCTTACCTTCCTTTGATGAGACAACATTTAATGCATGAGAGCTCAGAAGTGAAAGGTAATAAATGTCCCAAAGCCTGGGCATTTAATACATCCCCGCCGAGGGAAGATCATTAAACGTTCGGTAGACCAAGAAGAAAATATTAGTTGCTCAGGATTCCGAGCAATAAAGAATAAGAACATCACTTATAGAAATTGGTGTGCACACTTCCCACCTCCAATGATTACCTACTAGCTACGCTGACAACAATGATGAGTTTTTAATGTATAAATAGTCCTCACAAACACAGAAAAGAGGTACGCAACAAACCATCTCTCAACCATCATACAGTGTTTTATTTTTCCCCTCTCTCAAAGAACTGACTTGATCGTCGGAAGAGATACGCCGAAAAACACTCCGGTACCTTTTTAACTTATTTTTCTTTGTTCCAGAAACCTTCTTTAGCCTTCCTGGATCACTCAGGCGACTCATAAAAATGATTCATTATCCACCTTGGGTCACCTTCGACCCTCACAACCTATTCAAGTAGTAAGATCGACCATCCGATTGATGGACACATGTTCATCACGAAAGAGATCTGTTCTAGTGTTTATATTGTACAGGATCTTGCACGCACAATGATCAAGTGCTAGTGGATACCTCCTCCTTTGAGTGCAAGGGCTTATATGCGAGGGGGGAAGACGACTCTCTTCCGATGTGAGATTGCCTTAGGAAAGGGTCCTATTGGCGAAGAGAGGTAAAGGCTACTGGGGCTCGGTGCCGCCAGGTCAGCCGAAATCCTTCGAGTGGAGGATTGAAATCACGTAGTGATTTCTATCCCTTACAAAAAGTCGCCTTTCTGTAATTGATAGAAATCGCTACGGGAATTCAGCTCTCCACTCGAAAGATTTTGGCTTCCTTTGAGTGCAAGGGCTTATATGCGAAGGGGGGAAACGACTCTCTTTCGATGTGGGACAAGCTCCTGCAGACGAAAAGAGGTAAAGGTTACAGGGGGTCGTCCAATGAGTTAACCCAGGTCAAACCAAAATTCTTCGGGTGGAGGGTTGAAATCCTGTAGCGATTTCTACCGCTTACGGGGGTGTACTAGGGGAATAGGCTGTCAAGTGTCACGTAACAGATCAGAATATGAACAATTCAATAAGAAAAGAAAAAAAAAGATAAGAAAAGAAGATGATAGAGAAAGAAATTCAGAGAGACTCCGTGAGACTTGACTAAAGAATTGAAGTAATTTTAGTTTAGATTGCAATGATGATATTTAAAAGGACGGTCTATTGTACAAAGTCCACCATTATGAGATTTATAAAAAGAGTCAAATACTCACTGATTTCAAATGTTGTACAGTTAACTAATTTGTAAAAAATATTATTGATGAACATATTTTTACGATATTTGGACTTAAGTCGTGCTCTCTAAATTATACATAAAGAATTGGATTAAGGTGTTGCAATCGTAATAAAAAACATGGTATACCAAGTTATTACTTGATGTGATTCGTGTGTAGGTTATTCACGGTAAGCTCTTAATCTTAAGAGAATAGTAGACTCAATTTATTGATAATGATGACTTCTCATTAACCATGGATCAACAGCCGGAACCTTGGGAAGTAAATGTTAAAGCTGTTGGGGCTGCCCCCCTCTTTCCCTCGCTCTCCTTTCTCTAATATGAACCTTATGAAAAATTGGATATTTTCTGCCAAGTAATTCATATAGCTAATTATTGAAATAATCACCACAGAATGGCTAAATATACTAACATGCTTAAATTGAATTACCAGAGTAAGAATAACCAGTAGAATCAAAGGATGTGTGAAAACTGAAGACCCCAAGTGGGTGGATGCTAGAAAACCACAGGGCTCACCTGAGTGCGGCATAAAACACTCACCTTCCAAAGCACGTGATTTATAAAATTGCCAGAATTTAATTTCTATAAACCAAAATGATGTGGATGTCCCCCTGTTCACTACAATAACCGAATTCTACATCTAATCCTAGTTCTTTCGGCCATCTTCAATTCTCAGTGTCAACGTTGAGAAGACAAAAGGATTGTCTCCTACTGATAATGCATGCTCCTTCAACATATCCTTGCTTAGACATTTCTACATTAGTCCTCCACGCCATTTCTGCCATCTTCTTCAGCCAATTGCTTTTCTTTTTCTTGTTCCTCTGTAACAGACACAAATTCATACAAGTCAAGGTATTTCCAATACGTTTGAATCAACATGATGTGCAGACACACAGACAGTAACAAAAGCTATCACATCATAACATCCTATCAAGTAAATTGCCTCCCAGGGCATAAACACCATACTAGCTCTGGAAGAACTACAATTCAAATTACGGGTAGGGCAACAAAAATTTGTGGTAGTTTCACAGGCAGGTGTAAGCGATAAATAGTGTAAGGGATGGTTAACACATCCAATGGACAATGCAAAGCTGCATCCAAACATGTGAATTCAAAATCAACACTAGCCCAAGTTCTGCCACAGCAGCAATTGCTATGCAACTAGTTAAAGCAGCATTCTTTACAGAGATGTAGAGACTCATAGTTTTGGAACTCTAGCCTGTATCACTATTCATATCATTTAGCTAGATTTTGAAGGTATTAGAGTTTTATGTGCATGCCCTTATTATATATGACCCGAACTATGGCTGTGAATTTACTGCACTGAGAATCCAAGAATAACTATAAATACCAGCTGGACTACATTCCGTTAAGAGTTGAGATCCTCTGGTTACTGTTTTAGTAAGCTTGGTGTTCATAATCCCATGTTCACAAAGGAGACTTGAGAATCATATGTGTTTTTCACTGGGATTTTGTCAATAAAGCTTCATAGAAACCCAAATGCAATCCCATATGCGCTAGGATTTGGTAGCTCAACGCCAACTGACAGAGGCCAGTCTAAAACAAGCATTTCAAGTAAGGAAGTTGGCAACAAAATGCTTATGGAATTGGCAAAATCTATATGAAATTAAGAGCAGCCAGGTAGGACAACAAAAATGTTGAAATACATGTCATAGTTCTAGGTTTAAGAAAGAGAAGGAAAGAATAGAGAGATTCTGAAAGGAGAGGACAATTAGTCTCTCCTTCCTATCGTCCTCTCTATTTATATGTGTAAGGTTATTAGGAAAAATTACAAAAATACCCATTATTCAAATTTGTAGGTATTCCAACACTCCCCCTCGAGCAGGTGCATAAAATATTACACATGCCTAACTTGCCTAACATGCTATTAAACACCTTACTCAACACCCCTTTAGCCAAGACATCACGCAGTTGTCGTCCAGTCTTCACAAAAGATGTGCAAATAAGACCAGAACTTAGCTTTTCTTTAATGAAATGCCTATCAACTTCACCATGCTTGGTTAGATTGTATTGAACTGTGTAATGTGCAATATTGATGGCTACTTTTTTGTCACAATAAAGTATCCTGGTGTCACCAGAATCAACCCCAAGCTCTATCAAGATAATCAGTAACCAAAAGCTCACACACTCCATATGTCATAGCTCTAAACTCGGCCTCAACAATGGATCTCGCAATAACTGAATGTTTCTTACAACGCCAAGCAACTAGGTTTTCCTCCAATAGATAGCTGACTGGATCAATCTGCATCTATATATAATTTCACTCTCAAATGGTTGTCTAAAAAATAGTAGAGCCCTTACGTGCTAACTTGAGAACTTGAGATATTGCAGAATTCTAAAGACTGCCTCTAAATGAGAGGGTTGTGGAGAGTGCATAAACTGACTCACCACATTTGCAACATAAAGGCAATATCTGGTCGAGTATGCAAAAGATAGATCAACTTGCCCACAAGTCTCTAATAGTTGCACGTATCAACCTTTTTATCATCACTACTCTCTCCCATCCTATGTTTTGGGTCAACTGAAGTATCATAAGGCTTGCAACCAAACATTCTTGTCTCCTTCAACAAGTCTAAAACATACTTCCGTTGAGAAATAACGATTCTCTTGATTTTGCAACTTATATCCCAAGAAAATATTTCAAATCACCCAAGTCCTTTATCTCAAATTGCTTAACCAAAGATACTTTCAAAGTTTCCACCTCTTTAGTATCATCATAAGTTATGACAATATCATCTACATAAACTATAAGCATAGTAACTTTCCCTTGTCTATGACTCATAAAGAAAGTGTAATCAACTCGACTCTACTTATACCATAATTCTGTATAGCTCTACTAAATCTCTCGAACCAAGTTCTATGAAATTGGTTCAAACCTAAGGGTTAACTTCAACCTACAAACCTTCCCTTCAGGAGATGGAAAACTAGGAAACTAGGATAAGCATCCATATACACTTTCCCTTCCAACTCACTATGAAGAAAGACATTTTTTTACATCTAGTTGCTAAAGAGACCACCCCAAATTTGCTACCAAGGAGAGTAAAACTTTAAGGGAATTTGTCTTGGCCATTGGTGCAAAGGATTCTTGATAATCAATGTCATATGTTTGAGTTAAACCCTTGGTCACCAATCTAGTTCTATACCTTTCTATTGATCCATCCTGCCTTATGCTTCACATTAGATACTCATTTACATCCAACTGTTCTTTTTCCTTCAGGAACGGCTACTAGATCTCATGTATTATTCTAAAGAGCTCTCGTCTCTTCTACCATAGCTATCTTCGACTTACAGTCTGTCAAGGCGGTTCTCCAATCTTGTAGAGCATATATAATATATAGAAGATATAGAAGAGATAGAAGTATGATATGAAGGTGAGAGTGACTAATCGGACATCAAGTTTGAAATAGTATATTGAGTGCAAGATCGAAATCCCATACGAACTACAATGGAAAGTCAACATCATCAAAAGAGGAAGGGATAGAATGAGCTATATGAGAATGAGAAGAATCCTCGGATGAAAGAGTCCAACTGGCTAAGGAATTTGAAATTAAAGACTTGGATTCACTAAGGTACTTCCTTGGAATTGAGCTTGCTAGATCAGACAAAGGCATCTTTATCGCCTAAAAAAAGTATATTCTTGACTTTCTGGAGGAGACATGAATGTTGAGAAGTAGACCTAAAGATTATCCTATTGAAGTTAATCATCAACCGAGTGTTGGTATTGGTAGGTAGTAGAAAATGAGAGATACCGGGAGATATTAATATATCTCTCAAATACTCCGTCCGATACTGCTTATGCGGTGGGTGTTGTATGTCAATTTATGCATGATCCTTGAACTCCTCATCTTGAAAAAGTCTATCGCATATTGCGGTATCTCAAGTCAGCTCTAGGACAAAGGATCATGCTCCCCAACAATGGTCACTTGAAGCTAGAAGTATTTAGTTATGGAGCTTGGGCAAGTTCAGTGGATGATAGAAGATCTATTTCAGGCTATTGCACCTTGACTGAAGAGAATCTTGTCACATGGAGAAGCAAAAAAGCATGCAGTAGAGGCAGAGTCTAATGCAGAAGCAGAATATAGAGAAATGACCCATATAGTCTGTGAGCCCATGTGCCTTCAAACATTACTGGGAGAGCTGAGAAATTATAGACCTATAAGACTATATTGTGATAACAAAGATGCTATCAACATTGCTTATAATCCAGTTCAACATGACAAGACTAAACATGTTGAAATTGACGATACTTCAGTGAAGAAAGGTTGAACAAGGGCTTGATTTGAATACATTTTGTGACGTTAAAGAATTAGTTAGCCAATGTTTTCACAAAAGGCCTTCGTAGCAAGGTTGTGCAAGTTGAGCATGAGGGATATTTATGCTGCAACTTGAGAGGGACTGTTACCTTATATGTTATTTCTAGAATAAGGGTATTTTAGTACTTTGCATCGATATATATAAAAAAGGCGTGGTTGTGTAACCTAACACACGACCTATTCTAACAATTTCTTCTTCTCCTATCCTTCTCTATCTCCCAAAACCCTAACAACTTCACAACTTAACTATTAAGCATACTAAACCGCAATGCAAGATGAAAACAAAACATTTGCCAATTAAAATCACGTACCCATAAATTGAAACATTGCCTTCTGTGTGCGCTTTTCAAGCTTATCAAGTTTTTTCTGTACATCCCTCCGAAGATCCCAATTTGGTTTTTTAGGGGCAATGTTAAGAAATGGGTCCTGAAAAAGTTTCCAAAGCATATGATGAATGAGAATAAGAAAGTATAAAACAACAAATCAAGACGAAGAAACACTGGAAAACATAAAGCACCTCTTTCTTCTCCTCTGGTGGAGGTGCTATTGCAACAGGGTCTTCAAACTGTGGGAGTACAGGTGGGGCAAGCTTACCCTCCTGAAGCTGCTTATCATGAGGAAGGTAATTTCGGAATTTCATGTTGAGATTGCTGCAAAGAATTGGTAGTAATTTGTTAAGAAAGCAAACACAACTACAGATGCAAACACACAAAAAACATACTCGTAAACTCATATTGACACAAATTCCAGCAGCACAATAAACCAATATATACTTGCAATCCAATAACTAAATTATTTTTTGCATGTTAAATTTTGTCCACTCAACAAAGCCTATATTGAGCAATTGAATAAATTTTATCCATAAGTTTCTTCTAGTTTTCAACTATTGGGTTAATCTCGCTTTATAACTTCAAAAATGCTCTAATTCTCAATTTATACCCTGAATAACATGCAAAGTAGCCTAATTCGAGGGTTAAATTTAAGATAGAGGTGCAATTTGAGCTTGAATCCTAACCCCATCCTTTCTGGGATTACTATATGTTCCAAAAGAATAAAACAATCATAAAAAGAAAGGAGGAAGAATTGGGTTCACGTTTCTTCTTCAGCATCCTCGACCTCCTTAGGCTTATTATCATCGTCTGGTGATTGAAGAAGTTCCTGAGCTGCTCTCAGAGCTCTCAACCTCTCACGACGGGCCGCAGCGGCGGTGGCTGCGGCGTCTACGGATTCTTCTTCTTCACTTCCCATCATCAGAAACTATTTCTTCAGTTCCACCACTTGCGTTAACAATAACAGTAATTAATTAGTCAAGAGTGTCACTGAAATCATTCGCGTAGAGACTTTTTTTTTTTTTTGGACTGAGTGAGAGAAGTTAGTGAAGCAACTTACCTAATGATGAGCCATGAAGCTTGAAGACGCAAAGAGTGACAAGAGGCGGTGCGGCAGCGGCGCAAATAGGATGAGAGAAACAACCTGAACCCTAACTATATATATTTGGAAATTTCATCCACCCCCAGTAATTAAGTCTAAATCCAATGACACCCCTTCTGATTTTAAAACTTCACAATCACCCCCCTCTCGAGTTACGGCGTTAACGACAATTGTTAATTTACAAAAATATTCCTAAATGTTTTATAGGATAAATTTTATCTACACTGCTTGTAAATAGACATAACTTCAACGATATCACTTATAAATAGACATATCTTTAACAATATTCCCTTTCGATTTTGAAATTTTAATGTACTCATTTTTAGTTCTATAATATTAATTTTTAGGTTTATCAATTTTAAAAAAAAATAAATATAGGTTCATCAATTTAATATTTAATTTGATAAAATTAATTTTCTTTATTTAATTTAAACTAAATTAACTTTTCATCTCATCAAATTCACACAAATTAATATTTAATTTTATCAAATTAGCATTTATTTATATTAATTTAATATTTTATTTCATCAAATTGATATTATTTCATTAATTTAACATTAAATTATTATTTAATTTCATCAAATCAACACCAAATTGACATTTAATATTATTAAGTTAAAATTTCATCAAATTAATATTAAATTTCATTAATTTAACATTTAACCTTATCAAATTAATGTCAATTATTTAATTTAACACCAAATGAATATTCAATTTCATTAAATCAACATTTAAATTTATTCAACTAATATTAAATTTTATCAAATCAACACTGAATTAATATTTAATTTTATCAAATTAGTACCAAATTAATATTTAAATTTATTAAATTAAGACTAAATTTATTCAATTAATATAAAATTTTATGAAATAATATTTAAATTTTATATATAAATGGTGATATGTAAAGAGTGGTTAGGTGACGTTATATAGGACCGACGATAGTAAAGGAGTTAGAAATATATGAGATTTTGACATTGACTTTATCGATTGTAATTTTTATTATAAAAAAATTATTTTTAACTGTAAAAATTTGATTATGTAACCAAATGAGTGATAATATGATGATTACTATTATAAAAAGTTATCATGTAATGCATTAAAATGATAAAAATTTATTAAAATAATATAACAATATAAATCACGCTTACTGATTGGCTAGGGCATATAAAATGAGAAAACGATTGTGGGTATTTTAATCCATTTATATGATAAAATGTAATTTTGACATTTTCACAAAATATTTAATCAAATCATTACTTTATCTATTGATAGAAGCAAAAATTATCGTTATAGGGGTGTCATTGATTTGAAAGAATAAATAGAAGGGAATGCAAAGAAGTTTTAAAATCGAGAGGGATGCTATTGAATTTAAACTTAAAAATAGAGGGTTTGGATGAAAATTTTCTTATATGTAACGGTGAAAGGATAGAGGGCAGTTTAGTGTATTTCCATAACAAAATGTAGTTTTAACATTTTCAGAAATTATATAGTTAAATCGTTACTTTAAAGTATTGGTAGCGATAAAAATTATCGTTAAAGGGGTGTATTTGATTTGAAAATATAAATAAAAAGGGAGTGCAGTGAAGTTTCAGAATCGAGAAGGAATGTCATTAAATTTAAAACTAACAAAGGGGGTATGGATAAAATTTTCCTATATATATATTTTGTTGCCATCATTACCTTCAAACGATATTATTAGAACCATTTTATCATAGCATAAATATATAACAATAACCTCTAATTAGTAAACCTTTCACATTCTGCCTTCAATGGCAGTGGTGCAAAGTATGCATCGATTGATCTAAACAAGACAACTATTAGACTTCTACAATTAACTTCACTTTAAAAACCATTTCTGATAACGCATTTGTCTATCAATAAATCGAAAGATCTGTTAATCTATATGATAGATCAAAGAGTAATGTTAAATAGACTTAAAAATTAAATTTAAAAATTAGACTTAATAATTTCAACCATTGAATAGGTAGTAAATCCCAATAAATGCTGGGACCTACAGTAAAATTAATAGTTGAGATTATCAATTTTACTTTTTAAGTCCATGTAGCATTGCTCTAAATCAAATAGGTGTTTGAAATTTCAAATTTTACACACCCAACACACACTTTTTCCTCCAAATTTCAAAAATCCAACACACACACACACACACACTCTACAACACATAGATATACACACATTCCAATTTATGCATAGTGTAATAATTCAATATACAGTGACTTTAATCACGGGGTATCGTTAGTGCTTCTATATTTTATATGTTTTTGGGTAATGATTAGAATCCTCATTTGACACCGGGTGCTAGACTCACGAGATTTTATGTTCCATGCTAATTTTTTGTATATTTACTCAATAATAAATTCCCTCATTATTTATGTTTCTATGTATAGTTATCAGAATCGGATCGGACATCGAATCGGCAGAAGGACCGAGTCAATGGTTCACTAGTTCCATCGTTAAGTCAAGTGGTCAAACCGGTTTGTAAAATAAAAAAATTATAAAATATAATATTTTAACCAAAATTATGTAAAATCTGTCTCCATTCCAATCCAATGCATACATTCATAAATACAAACCCCCCCAAAAGTTAAGCAATATTAAGTTATTAACACTAACATGATTATAAATACAAAATTCCAACAATAGCACGCAGAATAACAGAAGGAAAATGACATTAAGTTATCACCATTCACCGTTCTGTGTGTGACGTGTGAGGGAGAGAGGGGGAGAGGGAGAGAAGACTTAGAATAACAAAAGGAAGAAGACAAATATGAGTGGTTGAGGCGTTACCTGAGTTGAACTTTAAGCTCATGAACTAGCCAGAGGAAGGAGAAGGGAGGACCGAAGCTGGCTGGACTCTGGAGTAGTGACAGATCGAGTGTAGAAGAAAGAGAGTGAGTCTCTTGTGTGTTCGTCACTTTGCCTAGAGAAGAACTGAGTGAGAAGTGAATTGTTTTAGGGCAAAATTACCCAAAAAAATAAAAGGAATTTTCATTTTTATACACATTGACAGTTGAATTGTCCGTTTTGAAAAAATCGTCCGATTCATCAGTTTTATTAAAAAATCGGCCGGTTTAATGGTTTTTAAGCGATTTGATTGGCTATGTGGTCTAACTTAAAAACCTGACCGGTCTAGAGTCCGGTTCACAGTTGAACCGGTCAATCTAGTCCGATTCTGATAACACTGTTTCCATGTTAACTTGTTGTATTTTACTTCTTAACCTTCTTATATCTCCCCTGCAAAATGGAATCTAAGATCAAACATCCCATTGTGATGCAATTGAATTCTCATTGGCTATTATAAAAATGAATCCACGTCTCTACGCAAAAGCTACTGGTGATGATGCACAAAATCGATTTGCACATCACCTGTCAATTAAGTAATATAAAATGTAGTAAAGTAGAGAGAGAGAGGAGACAAAGTTTACAGTGGTTTGACCAATGAGACCTACGTCCACTTTCAATGGCTACGTTCGTTGGGAATTTTATTGAATTCGGTGCGTTGGGAGAGCAAGAATTACAAGAGAGAGAGGAGATGAGCTTGATTTTTATGAGATGCCCCCTAAGTGTTGGGAGAGCTTACAATTTATAGACACCTGCACAGTGATTGAATAGCTAGACTGCGGTCATAACGGGGCAACTTAATAGTATTAAATAGCTTGACAATCTTTCCTCTCCTTGGCGACCTCCTCTATCCTCAACGGGTAAGGAAGTTATAGTGCTCTCCAAAGGACTTGGTCAAAGGATGAGGGAAGGCTGACTATCTCCAAGCGGCGAGAGTGGATGCTTCCTTAGTGACGTAGCTTCCTAATGGACTTGATTGGCTTGAACCTCACAAGGCCTAGTGGGTTTTCTACAAGCTTGGGTTCTTAATTAAGTTAGGCTTTCCACATGGATTGGGCCATTTGGGTTTGACCCATTATTTGCCCCCCAATGCCTCATGTCCAATAAAGCCTGGAGAAGTGGGCATTCAATTGAATTTGAATTCTGACCCAAGAATATTCCTCTGTCGCTACGTCCATGTTACGTTATAACTCGGGGATTGACCTGCCCGGATAGGTCGCAGGGATATATGAATCATGTACCAAGGCTACTTCTTATTTTCTGATATATGTTTTAGCATTGTAGGACGCTTCCAGCTACATAAACTATCTCTTTCACTTTCGTTTTCCCCTTTTGGATTCTAAAAGAGCCCTTGGTTTTGAATTGGGCTTTTTTTGTTTTTTAAAACCCTAGGTTATAAATAGTATCTTTCTCTTCATTATAACCACTTCATTCAATCTTGAGAGAGAGAGCTCCTTAGTGAGGCTACCAAGAATAAGAGGAGGGTTTGAGGATTTATGATTCCATCTTAGAGTTCAGAGAAAATGTCAGGGGGAATCTTTCGTGATGCTCTAACCGATGTTGCTGGGGAAACTTAGGTGAACTGCATCGGAACAGGGGGAAAATCGGCGATGGGCAAGTTGCTCAGAGAGGTGTCGAAGTCGAGATGGAGTCCGAAGGAGGAGGCTCTAGGTGAGGCTAGATCCAAGGGGCAGACGACCTCAGCCATGGTCGCCATTATGGAGGCTACGCCAAGCGAGGCACTATTGGTCCCGTCGCTGGGCGTGCCGATGGGTGAAATGCTTGGCGAGGCGTCATCTTGCTGGAGGAGAATAAGGAGCGAGCATGGATTGGGCGAGCAACCTGGGGCACATGATAGCCTAGGCGTGCTACCTGGGTGCGGTCAAAAGGCAGTGGGGTGGGCAAATCACGTGGCAGGCGAGCAGGAAAGGGTGTTGGGCACTTTTTTGGGTGGTGGTTTTTGCAGCTTGGGCTAGCACAATGTCCTTGTGATGGGGCAAAGGAGCAGGCAGAGGAAGGTCCTAGTGTTTGTTGTGATGGGCAGCCCATTAGGTGAAGGAGAAGAGAAGGAGAAGGAGATGGAGACTTTGGGCGCCGCTTCCACACGGCGGGACCGTTGGGCGTGTAGCTCAGGCGTTGGGCGAGCATGGGGATGCTTTGGGCGAGCAAGGGGCTTCCTTGGGCGCCTCGACTTCTCAAGGCCTCCCTCAGAGTGGCACCGGCCATACTTTGCGTCCTCGTAAGAAAAAACACCAAAGCAAAGTAGCTGATGATGGGTCCAAGGTAAATACCATCTCTAGCACTTTAGATACGGACCCCGATATTTTGCGAATTGTCTCTGCCTACCACATCCTTCCGACTATGATGTGCCATCGAGTTGAGATGAGTGAGTCTATCTCTGATGACTGATCTGGTGCCATTGTCATCTATGAGAAAATGATGGAGGCAGGGCTTAGGTTCCCTATATCTCCTTCCATTTATAGTATTCTTCGTTATTTTTCCCTCACCCTGAGCCGATTGTTACCCAATGGTTGGAGAGTCTTGTTGGATTTTCTTGTATTGTGGAGGAAAGTGCATCATGAGGATGCCTCTCCTGAGGAGTTTCATGGAGCTTATACTTTGAGCGAGACCCCCGCTCCCAATAAGGGTTGGTATTACTTTACCATGAGAGACAAGTTAATTACCGGTCTGCGGTCCAACTGCCATAGTTGGAAATCTCGTTTTATATTTGTCGGCAAAGAGTAGGCTGCAGAGGCAAATTGGGCTATAGTACCGAGAGGATGGGGTGTCCCTAAGAAACTCGGTATGTGGCATACTTGCTTTCTCTCTTTTGCTTTTTTTTTTACTCATCATTCCTTTTACAGATCCATCTGTGCTCTCCAAACACCAAGAGTGGAAATTACAGGTCGTGAGGGCTCATCCTAACAAGGACTTGGGAATCCTCGTGCCCAAGAATGCTAGGACTATTATTCCCTCCTCAAAGTCCGGCGGCTCCTCTTCGAAAAGGAAAGGTGAGTTGATTTTTTTTCTCTTGGTGTTTTTCATGTGGATAATACTTTATTTTCTTTGGAGCAGTAGATAGGGAGATGTTTGGGTCCCGCCTTTCTAGTAGGAGTCCTTCTCCTTCTAAGGTGGCAAGGACTTCCAAAGTGATGACGGGTCAAGTCTCCTCTCCAATGGTGCCACCCATGGTGAGCTCTCCTCAGTCAACCCCTTTACTGGCACCTCGAGCACCCTCCCATCAAGTGACCAATCCAGAGGTGCCTCCTCGATCAGAGGCTCCCACAACTGCACCTCCTGTCTCAGAATCTCGTATAGAGTCTCGTTTGTTAGCCACACCTTCTGCCCCCCATTCATCTACTTCTCTTATGGGGACTTCTTCGAGGGCACCTTCTTAGATCAATTCCATGCTGGATAATGCGTAGGTCATCAGGGATCAGCTTGGGAGGTTTTTGTTCACCAACGATGTGAATGGGATTAGTGCCTTGGGCACCGAGGGGATCCTCAACTCTTTCCTAGAAGGCTAGACTCAGGTAGGGGTTTGTTCTCTCCCCTTTCTCCTTTCCTTTCATAAGTTTCTGACATTCTCTTGCCTTCTATTTCTCTTCAGGCCTCCACTGCAGCTATGTGTTTACTTTCAAGGACCCTCCTTTATCACAAGCTGAAACGCGATCATGAAGTGGTGCAAAATGAACTTCTTGCTGCTCAGAGGAGGATTACTGAGCTTGAAGCTACTGGCAGGGCTTCTGATGTTGACCTTGTGGCAACTTGTGAGAGGGCGACTGGTCTTAAGATTGAGTTTTCGACGACCCATGAGAAAGTGTCCGGGCTCAAGACTGAGCTTGTCAAAGTCCATGAGAGGGTCATGCTCAGTGAGGCTGAGCTTTCGGTAACCCATAGGAGGCTAGCCAAGCTCGAGGCTGAGCTTGTGGAGGTCCGTGAGAGGGTCATGCTTATTGAGGTTAAGCTTTCGACTTTCCATGGAAGGGAAGCCAAGCTCGAGGCTAAGCTTACGGAGGTCTGTGAAAGGGCCACGCTCAGTGAGGTTGAGCTTTCGGCGACCCATGAGAGGGCGGCCAAGTTCGAGGTTGAGCTTGCGGAGGTCCATGAGAGGGCCATGCTCAGAGAGGCTACCGCAGAGGTAGAGGTGAAGACAGCTTATGAGAGAGCAGTGATAACTGAGAGGGACTTAGAGTGTGGCCTTGCAGATACCTTCATTGACAGTTATGAGGAGCTTCGGGGAAAGATTTTTGCTGTTTTTTCTGATATTGATGTCTTAGGCTTCTTGCTAACTGAGACGCTTGATGATAGTGATGGAGGTTCTGACGTTGCCGACGGTGATGATGAGGAGGAGAATGACGACCATGAATAGTTAGCATGCTGGAGAATTTTTGGTTTTTTTTTGAAAAAGCATTTTGTAGCTATATTTTTGTAAACGTGATTTTTGCCACTGATGTTACTTTGAAGTTGAGAAGTTGAATATGAAAATGCAAAGATCTTTTTGACGTAAATCTCTGAAATTTTATTCCTTTTTCTGCTCATATAAAGCAATATCGGATAATAGCCTCACAAAAGAGTACAAAAAATAAAATCAAATCTCCAACTTTTCTACTTTCTCAAGGTGTCATTGGTAGTACCTCTTTAAGTGCTCTGCATTTCATAGACGGGATAAGACCTTCCCTTCAAAATTTTGGATCTTGTAAGTGTCTGGCCTCACCACTTCTGTTATGAGGTATGGTCCTTCCCAATTTGGTCCCAGTTTTCCTTCGCGTGAATTCTTTGTGGCGAGTATCACTTTCTTGAGGACCTAGTCTCCTAGTTGGAAGGAACGAGACTTTATTCTCGAGTTGTAGTATTTTACCATGTGACGCTTGTACTCCGCATTACGGACCACAACTATTTTCCTTGCCTCCTCTACCAAGTCGAGGTTGATGTGGAGTCCTTCCTCATTGGTGATGGGGTCGCGGTGTTGGACCCTTAGAGAGTGTACCCCGATTTTCACAGGGATGACTACCTCAGTTCCAAAAGCAAGGGAGAATGGAGTTTCTCTAGTTGGAGCTCTTGGTGTGGTGCAATAGGCCCATAAAACACCCGGGAGCTCGTCAACCCAAAGACCCTTCGCCTTTTCAAGCCTTGTCTTTAGGTTGCGTAGCACCGTTCTCACCATAACTTCCGCTTCTCCGTTTTCTTGCGGGTGCGCCGGGCTTGAATAAGGTGGCTTTATTTGAAGGTCAGAGCAAAAGGAGTTCAAGAGCTTATTGACAAACTATTTAACATTGTTGCTGACGATGGCGTGGGGTATCACGAAGCGACAAACCAGGTTTTTTCAAATGAAATCTTTCACCTTTGCGTCTGTTATCTTTGCTAGGGGTTCTGCCTCCGCCCATTTAGTGAAGTAGTCCACTGCTACCACTACAAACTTGCATTGTCCTCTACTGAGAGGTAAGGGGCCTAGGATGTTGATGCCCCATTTGAAGAAGGGTCACGGACTTGTAATGACAATGAGTTCCTCTGGCGGCTGCCTGGGCACAGTGGCGAAGCGTTGACACTTGTCACACTTTTTGGCATATTTCTGGGCATCCCTCATCATGTTGGACCACAAGTAGCCTTGTCTGAGTGCCTTGTAGGCGAGGGAGCGCCCTCTAGAGTGATTTCCACAAACTCCTTTATGGATCTCCCACATAGCATAGTCAACTTCTTCAAGGGAGAGGCATGTCAGTAATGGCAAAGAGTAGCCTTTCTTATACAGGTTGTCTTATAGGATAGTAAATTAGGAGAATCTCATCCTGAGCTTCCTAGTTTTTAGAGGGTCTTCTAGCAACGCACCTTCTTGGAGGTATGCATTTATCGGAGTCATCTAGTTCGACTTAGGTGATGCACAGTTGACAGTTATGGCTTTTCACATCTAACTTGCTTGGTCCGAACTGGTGACCAATGAATGTTGGTCCTCCTAGTTCCAAGGATGAGGCGAGCCTGAAGAGTGCATCAGCGGCCATATTGTCTTCTCTCGGGATGTGACAGATCTGGAAGTGTAGGAACTTTGCGATCAAGCCCTTCACCATGCCGAGGTATTCCTGCATTCTAGCTCTTTTTACTTTGAATTCGCCCTTTACTTGATTAACAATCAGTTGAGAATCACTGCAAGTGGCGAGGTGTTGGACTTCCATTTCAGTTGTCAATCTTAATCCAGAGAGGAGGGCTTCGTATTCTGCCTCATTGTTGGAAGTAGTAAAATGAAGCTTCACTTCATACTTGCGGGGAGTGTCATCGGGGCTGATCAAGATCTGGCCTGTTTCTCCTCCTTTGCTGGTCGAGGAGCCATCTACGTAGAGCTTACCAAATGGTGGAGAGGAGGGGTTAGAGATTAAAGTGGGAGCCTGGACGCCAGGCTAGGCTCTTGGGAATGAGGAAGGAGGTTGACTGCCTGAATAGGTGATCTGGGAGATAGGAGTGGCTTGGGCGCCAAGTCTGGGCCCTTGGGCGCTTGGGCATCTGTGCTATCCTAGGCGCTTAGTTTGGATACCTCATCATTCTCATCAAGTGTCCAGGTGTCCTCCTCCTCTACTGGTGTAAGCTCAAAAATAAAATCTAGTAAAGCTTGTGCTTTGATAGCCATTCTTAGCTAGTATTGAATGTCAAACTCCCCTAGTTCCACTACCCATTTGAGGAGTCTCCTTGATACATCCGATTTTTTTAAGATTCTTTTTAGAGGTTGATCTGTGACCATAACTATTGTGTGATTTTGAAAATAATGTCGTAGACGCCTTACTGTTGAAATGAGGGCGAGCACTAGCTTCTCCAGCCCCGAATATCTGATTTTTGCTCCCAGGTATGCTCTACTCACATAATAGATGGGCCTTGGTATTCCATCATTGTTTCTGACGAGGACGGAACTTACTGCCGAGGGAGAAATAGAAAGGTATAGGTATAATATTTCTCCTAATGCAGCATCTGATAAGAGAGGAGGCTTAGCTAAATAGGTTTTGAGCCTTTGAAAGGCCTTATCTGCCTCAGGTCCCCACTCGAAAGCTTTTCAAAAATCTTGAAGAAAGGCAAGTATTTGACTGTTGACTTGGAAACAAACTTATTAAGTGTTGTAATCCTCCTATTGAGGCGCTAGAGCTCCTTGGTCGAGGAAGACAACTTCATATCTAGAATGACCTTGATCTTGTATGGGTTTACCTCAATTTCCCTCTGATTAACCATAAAACCAAAGAATTTTCTTGACCAAACACCAAATGCG